ATCTTCCAGCGGCCAAGGTTGAGAAATACTGGACTAGACAAAGAAGAGAGTCATGATGTAACTTTAGAGAGAGGTTAAAACATAATTGTACTTATACAAAGAAGAGAGTCATGATGTAATTTTAAAAAAGTATTATCAACATAATCTATTACAACAAGATGTTTAGAAAGGGATGTTGATATTTATTGTTCGTTACTTTAAATGTAGAAAAAACTTTTTTGTATAAGAATAGATTAAAAAGAGAGAGAGAGTCATGATGTAACTTTAGAGAGGTTAAAATATAATTGTACTTATAACTGCTGTGAGGAAGATTGGAAGCCATTTCTTTATGCCTTCATATGTTTCTCCTTTTTTCAACTTTCTTCTCCTTTTTACCTTATTCTGCTTTTAGCTTCTTCTGTTATTTCTCCCTTTTTCGTTTTCTCTATTCTGTTTTAGTTTGCATTAGTTCTCGCGACTGCTGTTAAAACTTTTAATAGAAATTATATATTTAAAAAAACCTTTTCCCTTCTCCTCCTCATGGTTACTGGAAGCTGGGGCGGGGGGTTCGAAAGAGAGGCGTGCATTAAATGGGTCGTGTTCCCCGTCGCTCAATAGGCACATTCGAGGGAGCGCAAGTCCCCTTGGCTTACTTTCCCAATGAAGAGGGAGAAAAATGGCACTGCTGGTTGATTGCATTAGGCCGCTGTTTCTCAACCTTGGCAACTCTTAAGATGTGTGGACTTCAACTCCCAGAATTCCCCAGCCAGCATTCAATTCTGGGAGTTGAAGTCCACACATCTTAAAGTTGCCAAGGTTGGGAAACACTGGACCAAAGACTTTTAACCTAACTGCACTCTAGCCCAAACCTGGTAGGAAAAGGCAATCGAGGTGGCACCCTGCAGAACAAATGAAAAGAGGATTAAGGTGACTCACCTTTCATTTTCCCTGGGCATTATCTCTGAATAATGATGAAAAAAACAACCACCACCCTTTAAACTAAACACAGACATCGCCCTAACTAGGTGTTCACAGCTTCTATTGCTATCTCAGAGGAAGAGAAAATTAGATTAAAGCTGCCCCACAGATCACTTTTCTAGTGCAATTGTCTTCCTCATTCACAAAATGGCAGGAGGGGCTAGAATCAAACCATGTTAGTTATCACATTAACCATTCCGTTTTGTTCACTGAAAAACCACACTGGGCTGGTTTCTCATCACATTAAATCATCATGCAGTTGTTTTGATCTAGGCTGCTGAACAAATCCAGCCGTGGGGGCCAATAGGCCATGGTTTGTGGCTTAATATAATGTGTGAACCCAGCTATTCTAGTTTATTGAACCAATGATGGCGATAACAAATGATGTTTTAGTGCAAAAGCTAATGTGGTCCGCAATACATTCCCATGATCCCTACTGTCTTTTGTAGACACTGTAGGAGAAGAACCATGTTAATCTATGGTAGCAAAAATATCAGAAGTCTGACAGCACCTTTTCCAACCAACCAATTGTATTAAAGGTTTATTTGGATTTTTGCAGCCTAGATACGGAAGCCTCCCTATGCTCAAGATTTTATTTATTTATACACCGCATTTATATAGCCGCCCATCTCACAAAGCGACTATATAAATGTGATGTATAAATGTGATTTATAATGCTGGTAGAATATAATCAGACATTCACAAGCTACACACACAGAAATAAAGAGAACTGAAGTTTATGTTTTCAGATGCAAGGATTGTTGAATCCAAATCTTTTTTCACTAGGCAAGCGTACCTAGAGATGCAGCCTTAAGCAACTTCTGCTGGGAGATTCGGAGCTTAGTGGAACAATGAATCCCATTTCAAAACTTGCTTTTTCCAGCTATGGCTAGAAAACACCCAATTATCTGAAATAAATTATGCAGAATCTCCTTTTCTGGCCTTATGGCTGTAATAAAGTTATTTGATTTGATGCAGAATCTCCAGCAAATAGTATAGCTCAGAAGGCTTGAAGGATTTTGTACACCCCAGCATAGTTGCCCAAACCACTTCTATTGTGTATCTATGTTCAGTCCCTTCCAGGATGCAAGGATTCATTCCAGTTCTAAGCTACCGGACTGCACTCACAAAACTCCCAAGCCAGCAACATTCAGACTTTCAAAAAGTGATTTTGTGGGAAGCAGCCTCACGAAGAAGACGCAGAATGTGATACCCACGCCCTGCTTCTTCCAAGATTCCCTGAGCCAGAAAGAAGACATTCCCTGTGCCCTATTCAAGGGGCCGGCAATCTAGATCCAAAACTAGATGATCTACATGAGGGGCGTAAGATTTCACATGTTCAATGTGCAAGATTTGGGTTTTCCAGAGTTTCCTGTCCAGGTCCTGAAGCAAAAACTGGATCCGAGTCGCTGTGACTTCTGCCCAGCACTGCCACTCTTGTTTCGCTGAAGCAGTGAATGATTGCCCAGCATTCTGCAGAACATCATGGTCCTCCAGAACTACTTGATCTTCTTGGCCACGTGATGCTGCTTGGAGGAGACACTGCTTAGGGGACTGATTCTGCTCCAGTTGACGGGATGGCTCAAGTGTCCTTGCTGGAAAGGTTTCCACGTTTTGGTGGATATGAAGGACTCCTCCAACATCCTTTCTCAAAACCCGGCAAGCAACTGGCCAGCCTTCCTCTGACGTCGGGATCAGTCCCAGGTTTACTCTGTCGGCCACACCTGATAGTTCCACCTGCAGCCAAGGAGAGAGCAGAGGAAATATTTTCTCAAATCAAATCTTATCACGGATTTGTCTTCCTACTCAGCTTCTACTCAGACAGCAGCAACTCTTCAAGGTCTCAGGCAGACAAAGACCTTTTTCCAGGGTGTTTCCAAGATGCTTTTTATTGAGGACACCCAGGACTGAATTCTCTTTATGCAGAGCCTGGGTTTAGCTCCCACTAAGCAACAATGGCTAAGTTGCAATATTACTACCATACGCAACCCCTCTCCTGTTTCCGCGCTGCTCACAATTCAGTTTCAAAAGCCCTCTGCCAACGAACAGCTTAGAGTTCTGGCAAAGATTATATTTTTCTCTCCGGGCAGTGGCAGACAGGCTGTGTGAATCCACACACAAAGCCATGATTTGCTTCATCTTGGTTTACTAAATAAACTCAGTTAGGTTCGCCCAAACTGTTAAGCATAAATCTTGGTTTACCAGCCATTATGGCTAAATTCACAGAACCTGCTCAGCTTCAAAAGAGCAAATCTTTGATGGCATCACAAGTTAGCTGAACTCTGTCAAAGAGAAGAAAGGAATGAACTCTCCCATTTTGGCTCCAGCCCTACTCAGAACCAGCTTGTGACCACTGGCAGATCCCCTTGATGAAGATCTGGTATTTCACAGAAAAACAGGATCCTCATCCCTGCCTGAATGTCATGTGACTGAAGGTACAACACACACACACACACACACACACACACACACACAGAGTCACAAGTTCCAGGCCTTAATTTACAGAGGAGAGTATGCTCTGATATGCTTCCTTTGGGGAAATGCAGCCTTTGCCTACTAAAAGCAAAGTCTTTTTGGTGGTGGCTGTAGAGAAGTCTGTTTTGTTAATCCTGCTTGGTTTGGTTTCGTGGGCGATTTTGATGCCTTTCCTGCTCACCTTTCTATTATCCCCTTGGTGAATGTGGCACCGATCCTCAACACCGTTCAGTTGCAGGTTCCTCCGCAGAGCTTCCACGGCGTGGGGGTTCCACTCACAAGCGTGGACGAAGGCAGCACCGGCATGAATTAAGTAAGGCAGAGTGAAATAGCCAATCCCTGAAGAGGAGGGAGATAAGATTAGCTCAGTGCCCACGCAATTGTATTATTTATTATTTATTTTATGTATCATATTTATATAGCCGTCCATCTCACACAAGGTGACTCTGGGCAGCATACAACAACATTATCCTTGATAGATGGCCCTCTAAGCTTTGCTTATAAACCGTCTGATGCTTATAAGCATTCCTCCTCCTCTTCTCTATACCCCTGAAGCACTAACAGCTCTTAACAGCTGCCCTCGCAGAAACAGAATTGCTTGGAGCAGACATGCAATACCTCTGGCCTGCCCCCCACCCCACTCCCTCCCCGCCTTTGGCAGCCCCCAGAGCTCTGCAAGATGCTCCTCCACAAATCTGGCTAGAATGAAGTGGCGCACCATAGTTCGAGCATCAGAGGATCTATATATCACTTTTAAGCTTTTGGAGCAGCCTTCGGTCCTCGATTTAGCTAAAGTTTAAATTACATTTAGTGGATTTAAGGCTGGAAAATTGGGAGAAAGTGAAGAGAGAGGAAGCAGTCTATACACATACATGTATATAAAATTATTATTATTATTATTTACACAGAGCAAACCCACAATCTGCTTTGACCACACCTATTTACCTACTTTCTGCTTGCACTTAACACATGCCATCAATCCCACCAGCAGCCTTTGACCCAAGAAAGGCTGTGCCCATGTGCTAAAGTGATCTCAAGAGGAGAGAGGAGGACTGTCAAAGAATCAAGGACATTCAGTGACAGGAATCAAACCTTGGATTCAGCCATGATGTGGGATGTCTTGTTTGGGCTTTGCATGTTGTGTGAATCCACCAACAGTTGCTTCTTCCACAAACCCTAATTAAGCGAGCAGGGCTTAGCAAGTTGTATTTGAATCCAACCAAGGTCTTTAATTGGTCCAAACAGCCCCAGAGGCTCCTGCATTCAAAAGAATCCCTGAAATCTTATGAGATTCAGAAGCACTTTGTGCCCAGACTAGGATTTCAACAGGAGGCAGCAGCATTTCTGCTGTTATTAAGCACAATATTTACCAGCATAAAGATCCACCACTACTTCTCCCATGCATAACATAGAGGCTATCCGCAGCTTCTCAGTGATGTTTCCTGGAGACAGCATGCACCGGGTCACATCAAACCTGTATCTGTGGAGAAAATGCAGATGCAGAAGACTAAATATCCACCCTAAATTGCCCAAGAGATCTAGGTACTCTAACCATGTAGAGCTCATGGCTCATTTCTCTGCTTCAGATGAAAGGGTGCAAAGCAAAAATTGGAAGCGTAGATTAACCAAGCACATGTACATGTTTGCCTGTTTTTGGAAACATGCCTACTTATCACAGATCTTTCTATCCTCTCCAGCAACAGAATTCCCAAGGTGACCAACAAAATCAGGTAACTTCATCTCCAGAGTAAAACATGCACAAGGTGTGGGAAATGAAAACTATCTTACTAGGAAAAAACAGTCTGGTGCTTTTAACAGATGTCCAGTGACATCAGCAATTTGGGCAAACTGTATTGCGGAAGGTGGCAATCAACTAACAGCTCCTGATGTGACCAGCCTCGCCGCCTCCAGCCCTGTCCTTATGATCCAAAGATGCCATCCAAAGACAAGACAAGAATTCAGACCATTGCAGGTCATGATAAATCCTACAGTATTACGGTCCGGATTCTGGCAAGATCAGATTACCAATTCAATCCCATCTAAATGAAAGCAACACAAAAATAAGTGTATGATTTCATCAAGCTACGGGGAGGGGAATCTAGCTTGCTTTTTTTAATGCTAATGATCATCAGGCCCCCATAAACTATCGGAAGACAGACAACGGATTAATCTTTTTATTATGGATTGCCTGAATGCTCAAACTAAAAAGAGACAGTGAACGACGCATAATACATTTTTTGGGAAATGTCCATGCAAGCGTTTGAGAGTTTGGAACGTGACAATATCAATTTGCACCTAGCACGGCATGGAAGTCCTTTCCCAGACAGAGAAGAAACAGTTCTAGGGGAAATATGCAACCAAAAATGTGGAACAACACAGAAGTTAAGAATCTAATAAATCTTTGCTTCTGCAGTCATCACAATCTCCCTAAACTACTGTTGTGTCCTATTTTCTATTCTGTAAAACTCGGGCATGGGATTCACTTGCCCAGAACACACAATATGTACCTAAGAATCATAACACTGGAAGGGAACCTTTAGGACTATCAAGCCCAACTCTCTGCTACTCAGTGCAGAAATCCATCCCTGACTAATGATGATCAAGCCTCTGCTTTAAGATCTCCAGCTGGTTTCTAGCTGGCTTCCACAGTAGAAATCCTCTATCATGAAGATTTTGTCTCCCTAACTTTCAAGCAGAATTTGCTTTCCTATAATTTAAGACTATTATTCTGGGCCAGCACTAGTCAACATCACTAACTCTCTTGGTTTAAACTTGAATGCCAAGGATCTGTCATGTGATTCCACGATCAAAGTGTAAATGAAGGAAATAGGGATGAGAAGAGCCTCTCTCTCCCTTACCTGATTCCATTGTCCACCTGTTCAACCCAGCCATCCCGGCCCAGCAACAAGGTCACAGCAGGAGATCGAAACAAATCCGCCTGCACTCGCCCACGTTTGGCTAAACGCCGGGCCCCCAAAGCATCAGCAACCACCTGCCAAAGTTCTTGGCCTAGAACAGAGAGCAAATGATGTTATTTTTCCAGAACAGTGTGGTTCTGTTACAACCAGGAGTCTCTTGTAACATGTTAAAGGACATACAGCATGTATTACAGCAATGAATAAGCTTCCAAGAGAAACCATATCATCAGATGCATAAATGATAACCTAACCCTCAATTAGCTGTTCTTATGTTTCATAGTGGTCTCCCATTCAAGTACTAACTCTGTTTAGCTTTTGGGGGATCAGCCCAGATTGGCTTCCATCACATAGGTGGATATTATCTGTTTAATTGTTACACATGGTGCTAAGACAAATATATTCAGCTAAAATGCGGTTTGTTGAGTATTGGCTTAATGTGTGGTGGGAACCCAGCCTGCTGTGGCTTATTCAACAAGCGATGGTTAAACAAACCATAGCTTAGGGCAATGCATAAAGCCCAATCATTGTAATTCAGCCCAAGTATGTGAAATTATCACATCTTCTTCTTCTATTGCCCCATGACTCCATCTCTTCCCCCTCTTTCTATTATTATGTAAACCCATGCAGTAAAGATCCAGCATGCCTGGTCTTTGTGAAGCCCTGAGTACCAAGTTGCTGCTATGTAAACAACAAATATTAACCTTAGCGAGGAAAGGAAATTAACGTCTGTGGTGGGAGGAAAAAATGACTGCCTCTGGTCAGACCCAAATTAATAGAACTGCATTCTAGCTATTTTAAACGTGCACTTCCCTTCAGTTTCTTTGTGCAAAGACAGCTACCTTGGACAAGGAATAAAAGTCTGGTTTTGCTGAAGAGGCATCACCCACTGTAAAATTATATTTCCGATTTACCCAGTTCTCTCCACTGCATTGCTCTAAAGCAATCCTCACTTAGAAGAACAAGGTCCCTGTGCCTCTGCCAGGACCGTGGCAGATCTTTCTCTAATTCTTCTGACCAAGCAGCACCACGGATTAACATTAGATGTTGTAGCTCATTGTGTAGTTTCTGAATCGGCGAACGTACCATAACTGCTTTTGAAGGAATCGGATTCTAAGAAAGAAAAACAAATGGTTAGTTTCCTCTGTGATACACACAGCTTGCTTCAGTTCAAAATCCTTTCTAAACCTCTTAGCTATACATTGGATGTTGATGACAAAATGTTCAAAGGTATTGCAGAGTACTTTGAATGTGTTAATTAAAACCTCAGTGGTTCCCAAAGCCTTACCTTACACAAAGTCAGCCCTTCTGTGATACCAGAACAGTTAAGCCAATGGCAGCACACTGCCAGCCCAGACCCACGGCTACATCAAAGAAGATCAACCAGTGTTATCAAGGAAAGTAAAGCAACCAGAAAAACTGGAAGGAAACAGGAAAGTGCGGGGGAGAAAGATCAGAAGCAAACTGGACAATATTAACTTCCAGCTCCGGAGATCAGTTTAGTATTAGTCAAAGAACTTGACTCCTTCTCAAGAAGAGCTTGACTCACATGGATCCATGTCAGAGCACAGGCCTTTCCATGTGGGATGCTCTCCTTCAGCTGCTGCAGGTGCTGGGCTGTGAAGCTTTGACCCAGTATAGGCAATGCCGTGGTTCCATCGGGAAGTTTTTGCACTCGATAAAGGCAGTTCAAGATCCCTTCTTTCTTCAAGAGTTTCCTGTAATGCCAACAAGTTCATGAGGATGCCCACAGTCAGTCATTGCTATTACTACAGAGAAGGTCCAAAATAGAATGCAGGAAAGACTGTTTTTAGCCCTGGATGGCACCACATTAAGTCAGCCCCAAAGAGAAAGCATGTCTGGCTTCACCAACATGAAATCAAATGGCAAGCCTGAGAATTCATCAAGACTTACAAGAAATCTGTTTACGGAGCAGCTATAAAACAGGGAAGCTGGCATATTTTGGGAAGAATGGCAATTTATTGTGATTGGAGCAGAGAAAAGACAAGGATGATTACAGTGTTACATAGCAGGCAAATAGGATTCTATGTATAGTCTGTGCAAGTCTGCTTCTCCCTTTCTTCAAAAGCCCCTATCTGCCACAGGATCTGGCCACAAAGCTTCAGGATGCCACTTTCACTGCAACTGTTGTCCAATTGCTGCAATGCTATCTTTTTCACTTGCTATTCCCTGATCTGGGAGAAAACAGAGCTGCCCTCAGAAATGAATCCTAAGGAAATGAGGCTTTGGTCAATACCATTTTCCACGTCATGCCCTTCTTTATGTACCTGATTGATTAGTTGCCATCAAGTTGGTGATGACCCTTAGTGACCACATAAATAGATTTCCTCTGTAACTTGATGCACCTAGCACACTCTGTTGATTGCACTAATGGATGTTTGTAAATAAGCCTACACGAAGCTTGCTGGTGGTGGGTGGAAGACAGGAGGGACAGCTCCATTGGGTTTCTACGCAGGGTGAACTGGGGTTCAATTCTATACCCAGAGAGTGATGGAAACCACCTTGTCTCCCCCCCCCCTTCACTCACCTGTTTCCCATTTGTGGCCTGTGGCAATCAGGGTGGTGTTTGACTGCAAGAGATGATCCTTGTCTGCCATGGTGCCTGCTCTGTGGAACATCAGCCCCCCCCCCCCCCCAGGTGAGACTGGCCCTGTCCCCATCCTTCCGGAAGTCCCTCAAAACTTGGCTGGGTCAACAGGCTTGGGGGTCTCAAGGAAACGGTGATTTAATGAGGTGACTACCTTGTGTATAACAGATGTTACACACAACATAGTCACCTCATTAAATGCTCTCTCCTAGGCTTTTAATAATAAGAGTAATGTTTTAATTCTGGAATGTTTTTTAATATTGTTCATGTTATGGTTTTTTATTGCTGCCCAGAGTCCCGTTTTGTGAGATGGGGGAGGGAAGTGAAACAAAAAGATAACTTAGTTCAATTGAAAAAGAAAAGCAAAATCAG